TTCCCTTTCTAAAACATGATGTAAAACAGAAGCAGCTCTGGATTAAAGCGGTCACCTCCCGACCTCTTCTTCAGCGTGTTCTCATGGTCATTGACCTTTTAACCTAAAAGCTTTCGGGGTGGTCCCACTCTGTGTTAGATCTTCATGAAAAATGCCTCCCTTTCCATTCATTTACTTGTTTAAGAGTGACGTTCAAGTATGGGAAGCATTATGATGGGCCAGCATCAGCGGAGCAGGGTGCTTACTGTGGCAGGCTGTGTGTGAGGAATGTCTGGGTCTGGGGCATATCTGACGTTTCCTCTGTGGGTTTTTTTCCCTTTTTTTTTTTTTTAGGGGCTAGTGCTCCTTTTCTCTTTCTCTGTATGGTCCCGGAGCTGCAAGTACACTGCAGTTCACCAAATAAGGGCATTAAAGAAGGAATGCTGCATTAGACAGAAAAGCATCTTTCCCTCTTTTCATGGAGAAAATAGTTCAGCATTAAGGGTGTACTGATTCAGATAGACCGCTGCCTAGATGGCGAAAAATATCAGACGACGTCATTGCTCCAAGTTAAACGATCTTGGGATTCAAGGAAACCCATCGTTTTCCCTCTTACTGTATCTTATATACAGTATATACACTGTTCCAGTGGCAGACGCTCATATTAAACGCAGCCAAAGAGTTAAGTCCAATTAATCCTTTTAATCCCTGAGATTTCAGTGAAAGGGGATACTCTTAGTGGCCGTCTCCAACACGCAGTTCTGGCAGTGAGCACAGAAACCTGCCTGTGTTACCTGTTGTTTGTGTGGAGAAGCCAATCAGAACAAAGCTTGCTTATATGTGGGTGTCTGTAAAGCAAGAGGAACTAAACAGTCGAGCAGAGCATGATTTCTGAATATTAAAATAGCCAGAACATTAAAAAAAACTATATATTTTGTTACTAATTCTTGTCTAAAATATTAATTAACATTAGTTATTATTATTCTGCCCTTGAAGGGAAAGAGTGTGTAATCGATTCTGTCTGTTTGCTAGCAGTCTAGTGTCCACAGTTTTCTAGATATCATTTTCATATTTTGTGTGATGGTAGATACCAATAAGAGCTAGTCCTGATTTTATCAGTGTGAACAGTGGGTCAAGGTCACGCCGAACGTGAAAAATCAGCAGAACCTTAAGAGATAATATACTAGGCCTGGGAGGACATGAATACCTAGGTTGGCTTAGTATTTGACCTTGACCTTCATTGTCAGCGCCCAAAGTTCACCTTGAAAAAATTTCAAGAAACCATATTGAGTAATATATCATACGAAAGGGCACGGAGAGCACACTTTACGCTCTACGACATCATAATGACAGCATAACGACAGCATAACAGGATGTCATCATATTGTACTAAAAACAAAACATCAAAGGTTAGTCTATCCTTTGCCCTTTGGGGCGAGTTTCACTCTGCGTGGTCTTGTTTTTTGTTATTTTTTTTTTTAATTTTACCGGCGTGTGGTAGGATTTTAGTCAGGTTTCCAGTCACTCCAAATGTTTACTTGTCCTTCCCAACTAAACAGCTTGTTTCAGACATTGGAGGAACTGTGGCAATTCCAAGGATTTTTTTCTAGTCACACTGCTGAGCTCTACAGTGACTGAGAGAGACAGCGCTGTATTCTATAGTCTTTACGGACTCATGTTCAGCACTTTGGCTAGTGGCTGCTGTTTGAAGTGCTTTATAAATACATTTGGCTTGGCTTTGCAAGTGTGTGTGTCAAAAATCTGTCTTGTCTGTTTAGCAGAGAAGCAGCAACAAGGAAGAATAAAGAAGAGGAAGGGTTAGCATTCTGCTGCTCAAATGCAACAAGTGGTCTACAGTTTAGAAAGTATTATTTATAGTCAAGAATGCCATATAGTACCCTGTGACTACACAGTGCAAATTATTGGTCAATAGTTTTACAAAATGTAAAACCTTACACAGCATCTCCACCTGACTGAATGAGTGTGAACCATAATTATAATCAAAACTATTGTTTTAGTCTTAGTCAGTAAAAAGAAACAAACACTGAACCCTTCTGAAGCATCTTGATAGCAAAGCTATAAAATAAGGTTCCAAATGTGTCGTTTTCCCTTCATGCGACAATAAAAGTGTAGAGAATGCCATCAAAACAGTTAAAGACAAAGAGCGAGTAGGAGTGGCTCATCTAAATCTCTGATACAACAAGGCCAGAGAAAGTCAGAGAAACAGGAATAAATATCAACCTCAATCACATCAATTCAACCCTCCATTGGTGGCTTGAGCTACTCTGTAAACAACCATGAGCCTGATGAGTTTGAAAACAGTAACGGTTGTCATAAGCTCCGAGGGCTTGGAGAGTTCCTATCTTCAGGGGTCTAGAGCACAAAGCGGCCACTTCCCTGACCCACTTTTCCTGCCTTGTGGAGCAGATGAAAAGACCAAAAGACAATGAGGCAGACAGTTTTGGAATCACTGTTACAATGAGAGGAAAACAACTGCACACCAGCCTGGGTGTCGCTGGAAACACATTACACAGTGGAAACGTGCACACGCACGCTCACAAGCACCACATTTCCTCCCATTGTCATCACTGGCAACAGAAAAGAGATTCACCATGTGCTGATGTAAAGTCAGCTCATCTCCCTCCCCCTCACTGTCCTGCTCACTCACAAAAAGAAAGATGAAAGGCAAAGGTAAACACTCGTGTGACCTATGATTTCTACAGGATACATGAGAAAGTCACTCTCTGTGTTTCCGGCAGGCTGGTTGGTAGTGTGCGGCCCCCAGTGTTTACTCACAAGCAGCCTAATCTCCAGCCTGATCGGCTGGTATGGGTTTGGTCACCCGTGTCGCATTCCCCTGGCGCTACACTAGCACAAGGCGCAGGCTCAGAGCGGGCAGGAGACACTTCCCAGCCTTTTACTCTCTATAGCTTGGAAAAAAGCTATAGAGAGTAAATGTTTAACTCAAAGTCTCCACAACATTAAACATGCACCTTTACTTATTTCAATGAAATGATTCAGTTCTATTCGCTCCTCCGTGAACTAGTGAGGAAAGTTTCTAATGCGGTTTGAGATTTTCAGCACTGCTAAGTGTTTTTAATCAACCTTCAGTATCAAGACCACATTCCCAGACAGAACTGAGAACACGCTACAAACAATAAAACACTAAATGTTTCTGCTGCACAGCAGAAGCAAGCGAAGCAAGCAAACTTCCTAGGAGAACGTCTAAAATTGGAAATGTGGGAGTCAGAAATCATTAAGCCACATCACATGATTTTAGTAGCTGCATTACTTTTGACTACGCAGCAACAAACCATATGAAGTGCTTACTAACTGCATGCTTTATCCACAACATGCATCAAAGTCATTATACACACACACACAAGCAAGCATGGGGTCTAAACTGAGCACAATTTATTGGATGAAGTGAAAAACCATCCATACAAATATTGACTGATTGATTTAAGAATCTTTTAGAGTTTTCCATTGTTCCTGTAAATGATTAGAACTCAGTTTATTCTAACACAGCGTTTATACAACAGTTTCAGTCTTTTTCCCCACTATGCTTACTGTCTGTGGCTGCATAACACTCAGAAATCCCCCCAAAAACTAACTTGCCTTGCATATTAAAGAAATACTAATAAGCAGTTTATTGGAGTAGTATTTTCAACCAGTGAGGACAGAAACAATTAGCTGTCTAGTGGACAAGTTACATTCTTATTTTATAAAATGTTTAAAAGAAAAAAGATCATATTCCTAACACTGAATGTGCTTTAAATGCTGACTGAAAAGCTTACTTTCTGCTTGCATTTAAATGTTTCACGCTTTAACATTTCTCAACTGCTAACCAATAACAAGTTGCCTTTGCAGCTGTGTTAAAATCAGCTGGTCTGTGGGTAGCTTATGTTTGTTGTATGCACTGCTGTTGCTTTTTGCTTCGTGGTGCAATTATAATATATAATTCCTCCAAGTTTCTAGTAAAAAACAGTTTTTTTTAACTTGGTGAGGGGAAACAGTTTTAAAAATGTTCCCCTACAGCCACCATCTGTGCTTTTATGCTGCTTTCCCCCCACCTGTTTCCTCATCAACGTGAGCTCCACTCTTACTCTCCATCCTGTTCAAGCCAACTTTTCACCTTACTGTTATCCCGGTCAGGTTGCATACCCCAAACTCTTTTACGCTGTGCAGCCAAATACCCAGGTAAACTGACAAACACAATACCAAATTTGGCTCAAGTGCCTTTATTTTAGCCAGTCTTGTAGCTTAGTAGAGGAGAAGCACAGTTTTTCATTTTCTGTGGCATCAAACACTGTGCACAACATCTGAATAACTGTTATACTGAATCTCGGGTCTGTCTAGACAGTTTATGGTTGATTTCAGTAACATAATCACTGTTGCCAGCCGCAGCTTCCCACACAGTTGCAGCAGAGACAGTGTCATCCACTTCTCACAACAAATGCCAACAAAGTCATCTTCTAGCTAGCACATCACCTTCACATCTGCACCACTTTCTACATAGCTCACGTCGGTCTTTATAAACTTTTTTATGTCCTGACATATAATCAGGTTAAATGTCACATGTCTCTTAAGTATACTGATATAGGAGGGTTGTTTTTAACCATATTGCAAAGCCTTAATGAGCAGTTTCCAAAACATCTGTATAGACATCACACAAGAGTATAATCAAGTAAGATCAACAGTTATTGTAGGAAATGCTCCTCTAAAGAAAGAGAGTGACAGTGTTAGTGAAAGCCCTGATGGGTCGAGTGAAACTCAGTGAAAACTGATTCAGCAGCAAAGCCTCAGTCACAGCAAGCTGACTTTTTCAGTGTCTTTTGAAGTAGGAATCACACATACCAAGAAATTGCACTACCCCTAAACTGTACAACTACAACACGCAGACATGGACACCTGCTATGCCCTGAACTTTAAGATCTAAAACAATTTTGATTTTCACCTTCACAGCCTGGCTTCCACGCCCATACAGAACGGAATGCAGAAAAAAAACATCCTTTACTCACCGATTCGTCCAGGGCAAAGCGCAGACAGCCATGTTCGTACAGCACAAAAAATCTCCGTTGCCATTTCTGTGAGAAGAAATTAGGTATTAGTGGCTAGCCTCAATTGTATCGACTTAGAGGCATCATACTCAGTACTCCTCTTTCAGGGCATTTCTGGTAACTGGAAGTAGATATGCAAGCATTAATGTCCATACAGTACATTGTACGAACATTTTATAGAGCAACATGCAGGACTACAACAAATGCCCTTACCCGAGATCTCTGCATAGGATTGTCAAAGTCAGTTCCTTCAGGAGCCAAGCACAGCCATCCACCATAAATAGGTTTGGCCTGTAAAAAGAAAGAGGAAGAAAAAAAAAACCCAGCAATTAAGGTAATCATTAAAACTGGAAAAGAGTGGGAAATAAAGGCGATGGGAAGGAGAGGGAGAAGGTTTTTTGGATGTTGCCTCTCTTCATGCATTGCATTTTATACACAAAACCGCTTTGCGTGTCTTTTAATGTAATCAGCTCAATATGATGACATGCTTCAGTGCCTCTTTAAACCCATGTGACCACAGTAGATGAGAATCATATGACAAACTGACTGATGGCGTGTTTGACTGAAAAGTACCTCAATGAAAAAGATGGACAGAACTTCCATATAAACACCAAATGTGATCGCAGTTTTTTGTCTGCTAGTAGCAACAACTAAACTGAGATGAAGCTGGATGTGAAGCCAGCTTTATCACCTGTCGTTTTATGCATTTGAATACTGAAAAAAATTATTTGTGTATCGTGTATGTAAAGCCCAACTAAGGATAAGGGTTGGGAATTCGCATCAGCTACAATCTGATGAAACACCTGGCGACGCATAGCGTTTTTTTTTAAAAGCCGAGAAATGCGCCGTATTTGATAGCTTGCTGCGAGACCTCACACTGTGCACATCTACTGCGGGTGTGGTGCCTGTTATCGGAGCAACATCCCCTAAAAACCCGAAGAGTAGAGTCCTGGCCCCTAGCCCTGCCAGTGTAGCAGAAATGATGAGGATGATGATGCAGCAGCAGCCGTTCTTCTCTGTGTGAGTAGCTTCATGTTGTTCGTGTGTAATTTACGTTGAGTAGGCTAACCACGTTATTACATTAATGCATGTAAGGTGAACTAGCAAACATCATCATAGCTACATGCGGCTGTCTTCTTGTTTGATGGCAGATACTCCCTTCACCCTGGCCAAAAAGGCTAAAATGACCAAAGAAAAAGTGGAAAACAATTAAACATGAGAGGTTTTTGGACAAAGTTTGTGTTTTTTCCATTGTTTAAGCACTGCTTCCAGCCAAGAATGATACCATATATGCCCCATAGCTGCAGAAAAGGCTAACATTGTTATCGTTTTAACAAAACAAAACAGCTGAACATGAGTTTTTGGCCCAATTTTGTGTTCTCCATTCTTTAAGCACCGGCACCGTTTCAAAAGTACCGGTTTGGCACCGGTATCGGATAAAACCTAAACGATACCCATCCCTACTTGTGTATATTGGGTGCAACCAACAAGTTGTGGAACAACATTAAACTTATTATCAACGACACCACTAGCTGCATTCCTCAGAATTTCATCATCAGAAGAATTTGGTTCATTCTAGTTGGCTCGGAGTCTGCCACTATGATTTCAGTACAAAAAATTTAAATGATTTAATATGCTGCAACTATTAGCTTTCTACGTGTAATACTATTTTCATGTTGACTAAAAAGGCATGGAGCGTGAACTGTAGCAGATTTAGTTCACCCAGAGAAAAGGTGCGGCTCTTACACCCCTCCGTCCTGCAACCAATCGATTGGCTGAAGAGCAGATCAAGACCATCTCTGGTTCGCCACACTCCGGGCCAAAAGTGACATCATAAATGCTGGCTCAAGCGCAGCAATGACAAGCATAAACTCTGTGTCACACGGTCTCTGTGCTTTACACGTTATTCATTAACAAGCGTCTCGCATACAAGCACTCACTCTCCCACCTCCTCAAAAGAACCCAACCTAAAAAGATTTTTCTGGAAAGTAAATGCATCCAACTGCTAGTGTGTTATTCCAATTCTCCTCCATGTCACTGCATGCCTACCATAAATCCATACGTGCCTCGTTCAACTTGCCTTGGCATGCCACTTAGTGGAGTTTTGGTGGGCTGAACCCAGTATAAAGGATATTTAGCATGGGTAGGTGTGATACAGGTCAAATCTGGGGTCAAGAGCTCAGATCTTCATACAGTTAGACACTCCTAATGTGGTTCTATTCATTCACGTGACCAGCGTTGATTTGTTTGCACATACAGACATGTACACAAGGAGATCGCAAAATTCTTGTCATGCAACAACACGGATGTGGAAAGTGTAAACATTGCATTTGTAGCAGTGCATTGAGGGTTTAAGGCACAGCTATGGTCACGAAGCATGCCTCCCATGGAGTACTTGTCACTACCCCCTTAGACTGCAGTGGTTGTCCAGATACTACATGAGGATAGGAACTTCAGTTTATCTTTGGACTGGTGACAACACAGGGAATCCAGCTCTCACCTACAGAATAAAACCCACGTGGTAGCCGTCTGCAGCTGTAAATCCAGCTTAACTTAGGCTTTAGTCTCTGTGATCACTTACTTTTAACACACAACAGAGGTGCTGACATATTTTCCTGCTGTGCAACTATTCATTCTGTTCTCTGCTCAGAACTGCTGTCTAACAGGACCTAAAAGTACTTCCTGGACAAACCTTTAATCATTTCTATAATTGTGCCACCGCTTGGCAGCATAAACATAATTATATCACTGACTGCACAGTGTTGTGTGATGAGTTTCACTGACATGCAAAATGAGCAATCACTGACACAGATGACAGAATGTTGGCTTCACCATCACTGTTGCACAAAGGTACATGGGTTATCGTTAAAAAGCTCTCTAAATGTTTCTTCGAGCACTGCTTCCCCACAGAAGACACCATATATATA